AGATTTTATTTATTTATTCATGAGAGACAGAGAGAGAGAGAGAGAGAGAAGCAGAGGGAGAAGCAGGCTCCCCGCTGAGCAGGGAACCCGATGCGGGACTCGATCCCAGGACCCCGGGATCATGACCTGAGCCGAAGGCAGACGCTTAACCATCTGAAGAACCCAGGCGCCCTTTATTTATTCATTTTTAAAAGTCACATTACATAAAAAGGAGTGTGACCCTTTTAAATAAGCAGGTTATAGCTGGTGTAAGTTTATGACTTTCAAATGCTAATGGAACCAGTTAGAAATCTTTTGTCTAAATAAATATATGACTAAGTATCATGTACTAATTTTAGTGTATACACACAAAATCTATTCACAGACTTTTGTCTTAATCTTGATTTCCATTTCTGCTAATGAGTCACAAATACCTCTGGATGCCCTCTTTCAGTTTCTGTGGGATTGTAGTAAGCTATAGTAATTCTGTAGTATGTTTTTTAACCTCACAAATTACGTAGTAGTATTGTTCATTTATACCATCAGTATTGTTTAGACTTAGCCATATCTTTATCATTTATTTATCTTCTTTCTTCTCAGATCTTCCTTCTGGGGTAATTACTTTTCCTTTTGAAGTATATCCTTGCTTAGAGAGGCCCCTCTACTGAAGGTCTTCTGTTGGTATAATCACTTTCTGTTTATCAGAAAATGTCCCTATTTTAACAAATAGAGAGTATTGTTGGTTATTCAAATCTAAGATGTCAGATATTTTCTTTTAGTACTTTGAAAATTTTATTTCATTGTCACTTGGCTCCTAGTTCTGGGAAGTAGTTATGTGATGGTGATTAATTGCCAGTCCTTTCCTCTGACTCATTTACAGTTTCTTTCTGTCTTTGGTGTTCTGTAGTATCATCATCTGTGTAGATACGAGTATGTATGTATGTATGTATGTATGTATGTATTTATTTAGGGGAGGGGCACAGGGAGAGGGAGAGAGAATCCCAAGCAGGCTCCACACCCACTGTGGAGCCCAACACAGGGCTCAATCTCACAATCCTGAGATCATGACCTGAGCTGAAATCAAGAGTCGGACACTTAACTGACTGAACCACCCAGGTGACCCTGGATGTGGCTTGGGATTTCTTTGTTTTCCTGAATTGAAGGATTTATGTCTCTTACTAATTTTGGATAATTTTTAGCACTGTTTCTTTGAATATTGTCTTACCCAGCTCCCTCTATTATTTCTTTTAAAAACTTTTATCAAATGTATGTTGGACTGTCTCATTCTATCTTCCATACTTTTTTTTTTTTTTTTTTAGATTTTTTAAAAATTTATTTGACACAGAGAGAGAGATAGAAAGCACAAGCAGGGGGAGCAGCAGGCAGGCAGAGGGAGAAGCAGGCTCCCTATTGAGCAAGGAGCCTGATGTGGGGCTCGATCCCAGGACCCTGGGATCATGACCTGAGCTGAAGGCAGCCACTTAACCGACTGAGCCACTCAGGCGCACCCCCCCCCCTTTTTTTTTAAGTAGGCTCCATGCCCAGTGCAGAGCCCAGTGCGGGGCTTGAACTCATGATCCTGAGATCAAGACCTGAGCTGAGATCAAGGGTTGGATGCTTAACTGACTGAGTCACCCAGACACCCCACATCTTCTATACTTCTTAACTTCTTTTTAATATTTCTCATCTTTCTGTTTCTCTGTATTCCATTCTGTGTAATTTTCAGATCTATCTTCCAGTTCACTAAATCTCTCTTTAGCTATGTCTAAATTGCTATTTATTGTTTATTATGTATTGCATATTGAGTTTCAAAATTTTAACTCATATAAATTTTTAAAGTTTTTAAATTTAGGGGCGCCTGGATGGCTCATTTGGTTAAGTGTCTGCCTTCGGCTCAGGTCATGATCCCAGTGTCCTGGGATTGAGCCCTGCATTGGGCTCCCGGCTCAGCTGGGAGCCTGCTTCTCCCTCTGCAGCTCCCCCTGCTTGTGCTCTCCCACTTTCTCTGTCAAATAAATAAAATCTTTAAAAAATAATATAAGTTTTAAACTTTATTTAAGTAATCTCTGCACCCAATGTGGGACTCAAACTCACGACCCTGCGATTAAGAGTTGCACGCTTCTCCAACTGAGCCACTTAGGCACACCTTTATTTTTTCATTTCTAAATATTCTTTTAATTCTTTTTCAAGTCTTTCTGGCCATTTTTATATAGTCTCTTGCCCCTTACTCATGTTTTCAGTCTCCTCTTTATTATTATTATTATTATTATTATTATTA